TGCGCGGGGCCCGTCCAGGCGGGCGTGCCGGCACGGGGCCGAGGGCACCCAGCTTCAGGTGACATAAAAGAGCCTCACCGAGAAATGGGCGTCTGAGAACAAACTGCGAACTCGTGAGGACATCTGTGTCCAGTCCGACGTCAGCGGGGCTTCCCGAAGAGCAACAACAGACACCCTGGCCCCAGCGCCCGCGAGGGCGGCCCGGGGCTGCGGGGAGACGGCGCCAGCGTGGCTGCAGGGGACACAGCTCCCCGCGTCCGTAGAGCCGCGGGCCCCACCTCACCGTCCCGTCGCCCCCCTGACGCCAGGGACTCTGGCCGCCCACGGCAGCCGCCGGCCGTCCTCCAGGTGGGAGGACACGGAGCGGGCGAGGCCCCGAGCCGGAGAGCAGTGTCCCGGGGCACGTGACTGTTGAAATTCAAGGTGAATTTCAAGAAAAGGAGATCCAAGCTTGCAAATCAAACTGGTCTGGAAGTTTTCTTCGAAGTTCTTACCATTTCCAAGTCATCTGGAGTCACCAGGTCCAGCGGGGTCTGAGGAGAAAAAGGAGCGGTCAGCACAGCGGCCTGCGTGGGTGCCTCCCGCGCCTCCCTGAGGCGGCCCGTCCACTCCCGGGGCACGGCGCTGGGCCTGGGCCTGCTCTCCAGGACCTGGACCCCAGCTGCACGGTCAGCGGAGCCGAGAACAGGGCTCTCCTTGTTGGGGCGGGGCGCCGGCCGCTCCGCGGGAGACTCGGCACCCGGCACCCCGGGGGGCCCCACCGCGCTGGCCGCTGGGAAACAGAGTAAGTGAGCGGCAGGCGGTCAGCGATTAGCCTTAAGGTGATGGCCACTGGGCCGGCCCAGACCCAGCCTGCGAGGCCACGCCCCTGCCCTGGGGAAGTCCGTCGTCTTCCTGCAGGCAGAGAGCCGCTCTGTGCGCGGTCAGGGAAACGTCGCGAACTCGAGGCCCAAGAGGATCGTTTTAGCCCAGACGGGGAGCAAAAGGCCACCGAGGCGGGCTCAGGTCAGAGCCTCCCCCCAGCGGTGCCCGGAGGGGGTGTGGGTGGCGAGCCGGCTCCCAGGGGGGCCCCCGAGGCCGGCGGCTAGGGACAAGCTGTCCTGACCGGGCCGAGCGCCCTGACCGGGCCCCAGGGACACGCGGCCCTGACCGGGCCGAGGCTGGCCGCCCTGGCCGAGGCGCCGTACCACCGGCAGCTGCCTGACGACGGTCCTGGGCTCCTGCTGCGGGTATTCGGCCTCCTTGAGCCAAGTCTCCCGGGGCAGCTTGTACACGTCCAGCCACGTGTCTCCTGCTCCTGCGTGGGGACACCGAGGCGCGGTGAGCGGGCGCGGGCCCGGGGCCGCGGCTCTGCCCGGGCAGGGGCTGGGGTGCGGGTCACCGCCGGCCCCCTCCAAGCTGCGGCGGGACCGTGGTCACCGGGCCGGCGTCGGGGCCGCAGGGAGGAAGAGGGGCTGGCCGCCTGCGCGACTCTTCCACACTGCCCCACTAGGCCGGGGGGGCCTGGGGAGACCGGGGACGACGGAGGGGGCTGGTCTTGCCTTGGAGGAGGAAGGCCGCGAAGCTGCCTCCGGGAGAGAACTCCACCTTCAGGCAGGCCGGCTGCTTGCTGGCGTCTTCCTGCAGGGAGGGAGGCGCCGCGGGCCCTCAGCCGGACCCGGCCGGGGCGGCCGGTCCCCCGTTTCCGCACAGATGAAGCACGTGTGAAGAAGGGGCTCGACTCCATGGAATGACTTGGGCTCACCTCGGGTTTCTTGAATATCCCGGAGCTGCGTGCTGACTTCCTACCGATTGCTCTGCGGGGCGGGGGCACAGACCCGGGCCCGCGGCACCCCTTCCCCGAAGTGAGCGGAGGCTGGCGGGCGACCGGGGCTGTCCGGCCGGAGCTGGGGCACATCACCCCCAGCCGGCAGGCCCGGAGCACCCCGGGGCGCAGAGCCCCAGGCCTCTCCCCGCAGAGGGCAGCCTTCCTGCTGGGCCTCTCACAGGGGCTGCCCTGGCCTCGGCCCTCCCCGAGGCCCCCACTAGAGCCATCACAGGGGCCTGGGACCTCAGCGTGACTGCTGGGGACAGACGTTTTGCAGCAAAGACTGACCGTGACCCTGGGGGGACCCTGCCTGGATTGGGGCCGAGTCGTTGCCTTGGAAGGCGCCTTAGAATAACAAAGCCGGGGCAGACAAGCTAGGCTGGCCAGGCCCTAATGCAGCTGAAAGACTAGATTTAAACAGCTTTATTTATATGTTTTTTAAGAAAATATTTATTTATTTATGCACACAGAGCTGGGGTACAGGCCAGAGGGGCAGGGGCAGCGAGAGGCTTCACCCGAGACAGAGCGGGGAGCAGAACAGGCAGATCAACGAAGTCCGCTGCTGAGGGGGCAGCGGCGGGCGGGTCAGGAGAGGTCTGCCGCGCCATGTGGTCACCTCCGGGGCGGGGATCGAACTCCTGCTGCAGTGGCTTTAGCTGTAACCCGCTGCGCCCCCTTATTTATATGTTTTAATAGCAACTGTAGTTGTGGAAATTTCAAGCACAGACCGAGAGGCAGGAGGTAGGCCCAGGGCCTGCAGCACCCCGCGACGGGCGGCCTCCCCTCCCGGCCCCCTGAAGTCAGTACCTGTGTTTCAATAAGCCTGAGGTGAGGCAGACTGTGAACGCCACCTGCCCTCACAGTTTAGAAACAGCTTTTCACGAGTGCTTCCCCCAAACCAGGGTCCAGCTGAAGCCCACGTTCGGTGGTCACTCAGGGCGTCTCTCGGGCCCTGTAGCTGACCACTGACCGCTTGCTTTTCCTTCCGCCACGTCTGTGGGCCGTGGAACGTGCCCCTGAGGCCGGCATCGCCGCCTGAGGGCGTGGTACGCCGTCCCACCCCCTAACTGCACGCAGCGCCCTTGGGTCGGTGGGGCTCCGGGTGGCTGGCCGTCCTTGCCTCGGGTGACTCAAGTCCCACTGCCCGGTCGGCCACCGCCTAGACCCCCCCGGGACGTGGCCACGGGCGCTGACCCCTTGCTCCTCGTGCGTGTTAGAGCCCTGTGAAGAGGTGGTCTCTGCCCTCTACTCCCTGGACAGAGCGGGGCGGGGTCAGGCGCTCGAGCCTCCCCGACCCGTGTCCAGAATATGAGTGTGCAAAGTGCCAGAGGCGACTAACTAGGCGCAATTAACTAGGCACAACCAACTAGTTGTGATTAACTAGCTGGAACGAACTAGCCACAGCTAACTTGTCACGATTAAGTGGTCACAGCTAACGAGGCATGCGCTTCACGGGTCCTATTCCCACTCCCAGCCAACGAGCCACAGCTAACTAGTCGCGCTGAACTAGCTAACTCGTGGTGACCACGCTATTTCCAAGCTTTGTTGGGGCGGTCAGAGGGTGACCACGCGGTGGAGACACAGTCTAAGGTGCATGAGTGGCTGTTTTGCCACCTGTGAATCCCTTCTTTAAAAAAAAAAATTGTTTACGGATGCATCACAGAGGTGCAGGGGGAGAGGACTCCCCAGACAGAATGGGGAGCAGGACAGGCGGACCTGCTGTGCCCTGGGGGTCCCTCCCTGCGGGGGATCCAACTGGTGCTGGCTCTGACCCGTTGCGCCCCCAGGGGGGCCCCTGGACTCCTCGCCACAGTCAGGACCGCGGACGGATCGTCAGCCCCGATTCCTGCCTGCGGCTTGGAGGCTCTTTTCCTGGCGAGTGTCTTTCTGCTTGAACCCTTCGTCCATTCGAGGGGCCATCTGCTTCCTTGTTTTGTGGTTCTGCGCTCTCGGGGTCTCCATGCTGGGCGCTCAGGTGCAGCCGCTTCGCCACACACCTGACTCGCGGGGTGCTCTGTGCTGGCCAGTGGCCTTCGCAGAGCGGGAGCCTGACGCTGTGGCGAGGCCCAGCTCATCGGAGCTCTGGCACGCTCCGCGATGTCGGGGTTCGAGCCCAACATGTCTGCCCCCCAAGGTCACCAAGACTTCCTCCTCCGCCTGCTTCCGGAGCGTCACGGTTTCCGAATTCACACGAGGGCGGACGCTCCGTTTCGGTCAGCTTTGAGTGTGGCGTGGCGAGGCTTCACGTTGATTAAATCTTCTCTTTCGTGGTGGCAGCTCCTCGCCCTGAACGTCTTTGCTTGCTCCATGGTGGCCAAACTGCCTCCCTTGTCTCCTGCACCAGCGCTACCCGCAGCCTCCCCAGCTGGCTTTCTAGCCCCTGTCCAACGAAGTGCGGCGTGGCGCGGCCGCCTCCTGCCCCTGACCAGCACCGGCTGCCCCTCCCGCCCGGGCCAGCTGAGCCAGCAGCATTCGCTGGAAGCGCCTGCCCCCGCCCAGTTGCTGGGGTGACCATCAACAGTCTGGATAAAAACAAACTGAAATCCAGCCCGCTGAGAGCACCATTCTCTCCTTTCTGGAGTCACCGGCTCAGAACACTTTCTGAGAAGCCCCATTTGCAGGCGCGGCCCCCGAGCAAGGGCCCGGGGGCGGGGCGCCCCGGCCTCGGACAGCCGCCCCAGGGAGCGTGGACACGGCCCGGGCTCGGGGGCCGCGCGGGAGGACGGCGCCGTGACACAGCTGTGCAACTTCGATGGACTGACAAATTCTGGATAGAAAAGGAAAAGCTCTGAAAAATCAGAATTTCCGTGCTAGCTCATGTGATGACCCCCCTTTGTTGAATGATCACCAAAATCTAAGCAACCGTCAGTTTTCAACTGGACGGCCTCAGCCTCAAGGCGCTGCCTGGCCAGGCGAGCCGGCGCTGCCTCAGGGCGGGACAGTCCTCGCGAAGTCAAAAAAATGTGACAACTGGCTGATGAATAAAAGCAATTGGCTTGTAACAAAACCAATACTGTAAAACAAGGCAGTACTACAACATGTTAAAAAATGGTGGGTTCGGCCTTCCTTGCTGGCGCAGCGGGTTAAAGCACAGCACTGAGAATCTAAAGCCGCTTCCGCATGAGTTCGATCCCCGCCTGCCCCGGAGGTGACCACAGGGCGCGGCAGACCCCTCCTGACCCGCCCGCTGCTCCCCTCAGCAGTGGACTTCGTCGATCTGCCTGTTCTGCTCCCCACTCTGTCTCCGGTGAAGCCTCTCACCGCCCCTGAGCCTCTGGCCTGTACCCCAGTTCTGTATGCACAAATAAATAAATCTTTAAAAAAAAAAAAATGGTGGGTTCTTTTACTGCCCGGACGAGAACCCAAATCTTGTCACCCTGCTCTCTTACTTAAGCTTTCTATTGCTCAGTCTTTAAATGAGGGATCTCACTATCTCCCTTAGTGACTCCTCTACCAGAAAGCGCCTCCAGCTAGTCTTCGACCTCACTTTCCCCTCTTTCACGACTTCTCCTCGGCCCGCGACCTCACCTCACCCCCTTCTCATCTCCAGCCAGCCTCCACCCTGGCCCTCGACCTCACTTTACCCTCTAAGACGTCTCAGCGAGAATGAAGATCATTAAGTAGCATTTAAGGCTTAAAGGGGCTTTATTGTAGCCAGTCATCACTGTGGTACACATAGCAATGTTAGCCTTAAATTTTATGAATGTATGTACCTGTCTTTAACAGATTGATTTTAAGAATAATACATGTGACAATCTCAGCTGAGGGTCAATATGACCCCAAACTGTTCTTAGAGGACAAAAAAGATGATTGTAATCTCTCAGCCCAGGTCACCAGGCGCTGCCATCCCGCTGCTTGCTGGTAATGCACCAAATAAACCCCTGCTGAGCGCAGGGCAGAAGACTCGCCCCAACTCCGCTCCAGTCCTCGCGCCCGCTCCCCTTCCCCCCAGGAATCTCCGCTCGCCACCCTGCCTGTTCTGCCCCCCAACAACCCGTGATCGGGGCCGGTCCCGACAGTCCCAGGCCTCAGCTGGCCGGGAAGGCCTGGCTGGCCGGCGGCGCCCGGGCACACCCACGC